CCCCCCCCCCCCCAGGAGAGTTTCACACCGGAGCTTGTACCTTCTCCCTCTTTCGTTCTGTGCAACATTAGTTGAAGTCTACTGTGGACCCTACGTGTTCTGGGGCTTGGCAGCGAGTTAGACTTCCCACGGCCCAGGGATGCTCAAAGGCTTGAGTAGAAAAGTGTCCTTTTCCCAGGAAAGGACAGCAGGGCCCCTCAATACGAGCATGGCTGGGAAGACTGCCGCCTTCTGACCGGTCCATATGTCTTCACCTTGGCCTTGCCCCTAATTAACATTGTGACCTCCACAGCTCTCATGACTTTTTCAATCCTCTGGGTTTTGTTCTGTAAAATAGGCCAGTTCTCTCTATTCAGGTGATAGCATTCTATTTAACTCAGGTAAGTAGTCTTATTGAAAGCCCGTTTTGCTGCAGACCTCTGCGGAGTGCTGGGATACAGTTGTGAGCAAATCGAACAGCAGACCTGTGTGGTTGATTAGGAAGGTAGACTCACAATGTGGTAACTGTTCAGAAAGGGATTGCTGAGTGCCTTGGAAGCATACAGCAGGGAGGTTTAACCCTCCCCCCACAAACACATGCACCCCCGCACTGGAAGCCCTACCCACAGGTTCACCGTACAGTCTTAGCAAGTGATGGCTGAGCTCCGAAGGGTAAGTCCTAGTTAGGTAGCTGGACGGTGGGGTGTTAGAGCAGAAGAAACATTTTGATGGGGCCTTGAAGGCTAGTCAGTGTAGAACATTAATGAACAATAAAAATCCAATACTTCTGGAACTTACCAGATTTGGGAAAAAAGCCAGAGATACAAGCAGGGGGCAGGTCATGAATCTTTGTAAATAAACCATGATAAGGACTGTGGAATTCTCATTGAGGGCATTGGAGATAGAGAGCAAAATGGTTTTTTAAAAATCAAAAGGTATAACTATGAAGCCAAAATAAGGATAAATAAAGTGGATACTAAATAATGCTTGATTAACCTGAAAGAAGGCAAGCAGGAAGGAAAAATGAGTGTGGACGCAAAGGAGCCACATGCTAAACCTGACAAGCTCGGGGAAGGCCTGCCTGGTGGCCTTGCAAACTCAGACCTAAAGTAACCACAAAAGATGGTCTTAAATTAAAACTTTTTAACTAAAAGCAGTCTACAGTGGGTAGTCATGCCCCAAGACAGTATTTTTCCTTCACAAAGGTTAATTTTCACCTTAACTAAGCCCATCTGTGTGTTTTTTGCATCTGAGATAACATACCTGATTAACGTGCTTTGTAAAACAAAGTAATTTCCACACCCCCACCCCCACCCCCGCCCATCCCTTCAATGCACCAGGGTGGAGACCTCCAATCCTCTCATTGTTATTGTTATCTAGTTAACTGTTGACTGTTAACTATCCTGTACCCACCTGTGTAAAAGAAGTCTGTCTATCATTTTACCTTTTATCCACTCCTGAGGTTTGGGAGATTCTGCTTCTTCAGAAAGTGTCAACAACTTGGCTCAAATAAACTCACAAAAATTCTTCACAGGTTTGAATTTTTTTTATGTTCACATGAGTAAAGAGCATATGACACAAATAGAAAAGATAGTTGACTCAAATGTAATCACGTTAATAATATTAAATAGAATGACTAAGGACCAATTAAAAGATCAGACTGGCCCTAGCCGGTTTTGCTCAGTGATTAGAGCATTGTCCTGCAGACTGAAGGGTCCCAGGTTCGAGTGTGAGTTTGGTCCAGCCCTGGTCAAGGCGCCTGCAGGAGGCAACCAGTAGATGTGTCTCTTTTACATCAATGTTTCTCTCCCCCGCACCCCCTACTATCTCTGAAAAGCAATGGAAAAAATATCCTCAGGTGAGGATTAAAAAAAAATCAGACTGGATAAAACACTGAGATACAAATATATGGTGTTTGCAAGACACACATTTAAAAAGACAAATGGTGAAAAGTAAAATTGGAAAAAAATATTCCATGCAAATAGCTATTGTAACAAGATGGCAACTATCCAGAAAACAGAAGACTGGTGTTGGTGAGAATGTAGAGAAATTGGAATCCTAGTGCACTGTTGGTAGGAATGTCAAATGGTACAGCTGCTGTAGAAAACAGCATGGCGTTGTCTCCAAAAATTATAAACAGAATTGCCATATGACCCAGCCATTGCACTTTTTAACATTGTACTGGGGGTTCTAGGCAGCATAATTAGAAAAATAAATACTGAAAAAGACAAAGGAAAATTAGCAACATGATCATGTACATTGAAAATTCAAATAAATCCCCCCAAAACAATGAGGGCTAATAAGTGAATTTAACAAGGTCAGTGTTGTTGGGGATGGTTCTTTCTGGGTCTCTCACATTGCTTGTCTTGCAAGCAGGGGTACTGACTGCCTTTGTCCTAGACTATGTTTTCCAAAGGTATACATGTGAAATGTATATAGATGTGAATGTTTATATAGCAAACTGCCTTCAAGGACTACATATTAGCTTCCATTTTAGAGATTCCCAAGAGCACCTCTGGTTTCCATCTTTTCTGATCCCATGAGCTCCCTTATTCATCTAATGAATTCCTTTCCATTTCCATTAGCCATAGTTGATTTCTAAAGAACCTGGCATAGAGTAAAAAACCTTGAAGAATCAGGAGTTATGTTTTTTTATTAAAAAGCAAAACAAAACCAGAAGATAGTCATTGAGGAACAATAACCACCAAGCCTGGACCCAAAAGAGAGGAAGGTCACAAACCCAAGTGACTGAGCACAGCCATCCATTGGTGCTGAAAGCTCTTTCATCGTCTATACAGTGACAGGAGCCTCTGCTCTGTGCGCTCCGCATCAGTGCTCTGAGCGAAGCCCAGATACGCAAGGGCTTTGTGGAGACGCTCATGGGCGGTGTTATTTGGACAGCTGAAAACACTAGAGATAAAAAGGAAGACACCAGGCTTGGCACCAGAGATTCATTTTAAAATCTTTTTGCAAAGGCAAGAAGGGAAGGAGCTCGTATGCGGAAGCAGGAAGACCTGGAATTACACCACCACCCTGCCGTTTGGCCCCTCGTGTGGAAGGTGGCTCTGACCTTGTTAGCATCCTATGGGACACTGCATCCAACCCTGGAAAGTCTCCATCAGTTAGGGATCATTATACCCTTTCCTTTCTTGCCTGCCCCAAACAGCATTCTTCATGTATAACCAGACTTAGAATTAAAAAATGAAAAGGGCAAAAAGTGTAATAGTTCCCAAAGGTGATTATAAAGAGGAAGGACAACCAGGCCTGGAATTTAAGAGAATGTGGAATTTATTAGGTACCAAATGCAACTATAAACCATCTAAAACAGGGATGCAGAAAGCTCCTTTGTTTCTCCAGGCTTTCCCACCCCAGCCCCATAAAAACATTTTGCCCACACCCAATGGTGAGCGGAGAATAAAACACTCTGGTCCTCAGCGGCCGGATGAGAGCGAGGGCACCTCCTCCTTCAGTGCATCCTCCACTTGCTTCTCCAACCAATGCTGCTGCTGGGCGCCTACTGCCTGGCAGAACCTGTGCATGGCTGGGGGGTCCAAGTGCAGGCAGAGAAATAGAACTAGTGAGTGTGCAGGCAGGCCCCAGGCAATCCCAAGCCATGGCAGACGTTCACAGACCCATTCAGGGATGTTGGCCTTCAGCCCCCCCTTCTTTGGGATGCTTTCCCAAGTGTACCACCACATCCCCAATGGCTCTTTTTCAGCTTCATTGTCACAGCATCAGCCGGCCAGACACCTTCATGTCCCATATCAAATCCTATAACTGGGCTATGGCCCTGGACTCATCAAGGTTTCTATTCCCTCCAGGGTCCCTTCTCTTAGTCTATTCTGCATATTAGCTCAAAATTTATTTCTGTAACATAAATGTTCTCTCTTCACTGCTCTGTTCCCAACAGGTAGAACAGTGCCCAGCATATGGTGAGATGCAAGAGATCATTTTAAGTGAATGTCATGTTTTCATAACCTTCAGAGGAGACTCTGAACTCCATAGAGAAACATCCAGGGACGTCCAGGATCATCTACCTGTCTCTCTCACCTACTGGACTCAAGCCCCACAGGGCAGAGAACCACTTCTGATCAGGTCCAGTGCCCTACTCAGTGGCAGGTGCATATACTCCCTGTTTGCAAAGGAACTAAACCAGAAGATGAAAGTGTAAGCCTTCTATGGTATAGAGGGGCTGTAGCCATAGGCTACTGAAGGCTAGGAAGGGAAGACTCAGCTATTGGGTTAGTAGTGGAAGATGCCAGGATTGGGAAGTCAGCACCACTCACCGACTTTTAGGTGGAGGGGTTTATCTGAAAAGGTGAGGCGGAACCAGCCAGGCTCCTTACACATGTAGGCCTTGCCAGGGGACAATAGCAGCTTGTGGTCCAGGAAGCGGCGATAAAGGAGCAGCTCTTCCTCAAATGTGCATGGGTCCAGGTACTAGAAAAGGCAGAGGGACAGAGCTGAGCCCAAGACCCATCAGGCAGGTCTGCCCAAGGGCACCTGACCTCACTCCCAGAGCTCACCTTTTTCAAGTTCATCCAGACATAGAGGCCAGAGCCACGATTGAGAAAGGGGATACCCAATGCCTTCAACTGGTTAGTGATGAACCTGTGAGCTTCCTGCAGCCGGGAACGATTAGTGGGCACATACACATTGTCAATCCATTCTGGATGGGGGAGAGAATACTGTCACAGGTCTGGTGCCACTGAAATGCCAAAACTTCTTTATCACATGCTTCCTACCCGGGCTTCCTGGCAGCTGTTTCTGTCCAAGGCTGACTCTGTATTGTATCTGAGCTGATGGCATTCATACCCAACACTCACCTCCTACCTACAGCGCTGCAAGACACATCGGGCTTCTGAATAAACTGGTAGGAGCATTTTGTTTGAGCTTACACTTCTGACACTAAGAGTCAGGTATCCCCCGCAATAGGTTGATGCTGCTGGCATCAACTGAGCAAGTACCCACAGCTCCCCGTTACCTCCAGCCTTACAGCCTCAAACAGTTGACTTTGAGGAACCCAGATATGTTTGGTGATGATCTTAGCCCAGTTGTTCTCAGGACTGGCAGCACATAGAACCCCCTGGGGAATTTTTAAAGGTCCTCATGGCAAGGTTATAGCCCCAGATCATCTTAATGAGAGTCTTCGTGGGGGAGCCCACACATCAGTATTCAAGCTCCCCACATAATTCCCATGGGCATCCTAAGTTGAGTACCAGTGTTCAAGGGGCAGGGAACCTGGTTTTTGCTAAATATCAAAGGGTCTGGCCCCATATGGGGAAACAGCTAGTTGAATTTCTCCTGTATACCTTTCTGCTCACCAAAAAGTGAGTGTAAGTACTTTTCTAAACCAGATTATCTGGTTACTTCAGTTCATTTAAATATATCCCAGCTTTTAATTTAAATCAACTAGACTGGCACCTGTTGTAATACAGGGATTAAAGAAAGGGGCCCTTCTCTATGTTTGGACCATCGCACTAAAAGGGGAAGTTCTCCCTGAAGCCAGCATTCACATGAGATCAAAGGGACTGAAGAATCCAGGGACCACAGATGTAGCCACAGCAGCTTGCCCAAAAAGCTGCTCTCCTTTGGCCGCCTTGGAAGATGAACTTAAATCCTACTTGAGGAGTCAGAGTGTTTATTCCTTTGTAATCTTTGCCTAAGCAAGCAGAATATTGGAAAAGGAAGAGACCTTGGCATAACGACAGATTTCTGAGGTTCCCACCTGAAGTCTCAGAGTATGATTGACTATCCCCTTCCAGGCAGAGCACGAGCATCCAGATGGCCAGAAATTAAAGCCCATCCTGGCTTTCAGACCAGCATCTCCCTCGTCTGCCTACACCCTACTGCACCAGCTGAGCTGCACCCTGCCCTCCTTCCAAGTTCCTGTCCGCCACTGTTACACCCAAGACAGTGAACAGGATGTCAGTGGACTGAAGGCAGGAGAGAGGCCCAAGCAGACCCAGGAATCCCCCATGGCCATGAGTTGCCAAGATGCCTGGATGGAGCTCGATACCTCTGTCCTGGAGCAGCCGACACATCTTGTGCTGGGTGATGCCAGAGATGCCATGGAGGAAGCCAAAAGCGCCCACGGCAGAGGCCACGTCCTTGCTGTTGGTGTAGAGAGCGCCAAAGCGGAAGCCAGAGATCCCAAAGCCCTAGAGGAAGCGAGTAAGGAAGGGGACACCTGGTTGGTCTGCCTTCTGCTGTTGGCTCCCCTTCCTTCCCTACCCAAGGACAGGCAGCTGGGACTCACCCAGATCACATGGGTCCTTTTGGGGTCAGGCAAACTGGAGAGGAGACAGTACAGTCAAGATTATGGAGAAATATTTGAGGGATGAAGACTTGGGGTCTATGTGGGGGGAAGAGGAAAGTGGACTTGAAGTCCTCTATCCTGACCTTTTGTAGAAGTCAATCTTAATTTTTGATAATGTACTTTCTACCTTGCCCTCAAATATCTCATGTACAAATGGCATATAGACCCAAAGGTACTAGGGAGAAAGATCATACTTTGTTCATTTTCATATTTACCTCGGTTCCTAAAATACGGACAGTTAAATTTATGGCACATGAACTCACTGTACAAAAGCAGGAAACTAATGTTCTCATTCCAACTCCAGCTGAGACCAACTCACCTTTCCATGCTCAGAACGCTGTGGAATGGGAAGGGTTCATCGAACACAGACAGCATGGAAATCTCATCAATAATCACATGGAGGTTGTACCTGCAAGTTACACACACAAAAAAGCGGAAACATCAAGTTGAAGATGAAGATGTCTTCACCTTCACCCCACTAAGTCCAAAAGTCTCTGTTCCCTGGCATCTCAGACCAAGAAGTTTGGGAAATGGATGCTTAGAAAGTGCTTATGTGAGAAGTGGAAAAGCAACAAAACCATATTATGATTGTTATGTAGGTATCTGCACATGGACAGGACTAGAAAGAAATTGGAAAGAAGAAAAAGATTGGTCAAACCAGTAGCATGTGGGTGCATTTTCCTTCATTTAAATGTCAGTTAATTGTATACCGCTTTGCAGGGTACAATAGGCAGAAAGAATTGTTAGGGTAAATTATTTCTGGTTCTGACTTCTTGTCCATGAGTAATGGCAATTTGTCTAGTCCCAAGGGGTGAACTCTTACCTCTTGGCAAATTCCAGATATTCGTTCAGTGAGTCCCGGGAGTAGATGTCTCCCAGAGGATTATTAGGGTTGATCAGCACAAGGCCTTTGACCTTTCTCCCCTAAAAAAACAAAGCATAACCCAATGAAAGGCAAATCCTTCATGTCTATTTCAAGTTCAGCCAAGGATCAGTCAGGACACCCAATATAGGTCACGTAACCAAGGCCTAGGTAGGACCTCAAAGTAACTATGATACAGCCCACAGGGCAGAGCAGGAATCAGCCGTGGGGACTGCCACTGAGAGGGCTCAGGGCTCCTAGGATGACATGCCCCTGGGACATTGCCTCTTCTGAAGGAGCTCACATGGCCTTGCTGAGGAAGTTGTAGCAGAGTTTCAGCACTGAACCCCCTTCAAGGGCAGCAGTACCCACTTTGACCCACGGTTCCCTCCTTACCTTAAGCCTAGCGTCAAGCAGAGCTTTCTCCAACTTGCCCACAGTCAGCTGGAAGTGACAGGTGGCTGCCTCAGTGACCTGGAACACACACACTGCCTGAGGGCCGCCCATCTGAAAGCCTCTAAGCTTTGGTCCCTCATCCCCAGAAACTCCAAAAATCCTGTGCTTCTTACCCAGGGCTCCCGCCCCACGTGCCCTCTTTGCCCTGATTTCGTTATCCTTGCCCCACCAGCACATATATGAGAGGAAAGCTAGCCCCCCACCCTATGCTTTCAAATGCCTTCCAGAACATTCCACTGCATAGGAGAGCTGAGCAGGGGGAAGGGGCCCATTCTCACCTCACTGTCCAGGTGGACGTGAATCAGCTCAACTTTTGAATACAGGCGGGAAGCAAAGGTGAAGCCAGGATAGAAGGGCGTGGGGGCCAGAATGGCCTCTGGAAGCACAGGAGACAAAACTGTCAGTCCAGGGTCCCTGGGTCAGAACCTGCCAGACACCCCCCCCCACACACACACACACACAGAACACCACCAACTCTACCCACAGCGTAGGTGGCTCTGGCAATCTCTCCTACTTGGGAACTAATACTTTGGGGCTCAGGCTCTGGAAAAGTTAGCCATTCCTATAAACCATACTTGGGGAACAAAACTCAAGTGTCCTTGGGGCTACAGTAGAGAAGGAGACAAGGGAAGAACAGTGCTGTGAATGGCTCAGAAGCCAGGGTGCAAATCAAGCCAGCCTTCCTAGCAGGATGAGCTCTGGGCACTCACAAGTTCTGGTCAGCTCAGGGCAGACACCAGTGGCCTCTGAGGTCCCTGCACAGGGAGGGCTCTGTCTCTCCACATAACTCAGCCCATCTGCACCTGGTGGCCTCACATGCTCTCTTCCCATCCATTTGGCCCATTGATGAGCTAACCAAGGACCTACTCATTTGAATGAAACTGTCTGTTTTGGTAACTTTGTTCCATGCAGTCAAAGCTCATTAAAGTCTGAGGCTCTTGTTTGGGTACTGTTAAGAAGGACATTGAGAACAGATCTCTCAGCCTTATTTGATCTAGAACTAATTAGAAGTGTGTGTGTGTGTGTGTGTGTGTGTGTGTGTGTGTGTGTAGGAGATGGTGATAGAAATTCTATATCATTCAAGCCAGTTTACCAGGGCTCTCTGTATTGAAGTTGAGCCCCAAAGCCCAGCTAATAATAGAATAGGTTGGCTCCCATTGTCACCATTCCTAGGGCCACCTCCCTGAGGACTGTCATGTGATTTCCTTCCACAATAAGTGGGATCCAAACCCCTCCTCACTCCTACAGAAATAGTAGGAAGATGTTCTAATTAGTGTAGGAGAGACCCAGCACTTTAGGGGAAGGGCCTTGAATCAAGATGCTCTTTTATACTAAGTGAACTAAGCCAGTCAGAGAAAGACAAGTATCACATGATCTTACTCATATGTGAAATCTAATGAACAAAATAGACCGCCAAACAAAACAGATCCAGAGACATTGAAGCATGCAACAGACTGATGTATAGAAGCGGGAAAGAGGGGGAGGGGCTGGAAGAGATTGACCAAAGAATTTCTATGCATATATGCATAATCCATGGACACAGACAACAGTGTGGTGAAGGCCTGGGGGGATGAGCAGGGTAGAGAGGGTCAATGGGGGGATCAAAGGGAATATTTGTAATACTTTCACCAATAAAGATAAGTTACCAAAAAAATACAACACCACAAAGATATTCTTTATCCCTCAGGCCCAGTGCCTGTGTGCTGCTGTTTCCCTGAGGGAAAGCAGAGCCCATCGACTTACCACCTGGATCACTCACAACCATGGTCAGTGCCAAGAAGACAGAGAGGCAGCTATTTAGAACAACCACCTGAAGAAGGTGCACAGAGGACAGAAGTCAAAAACCAATGCCCATGTATGAAGGGCTAGTCCCCCTGTCTCCCTCCCCGTGGGTAGGGACAGGTACCAGGAGTCTCCTAAGATGGGACCCATTGGCCTTCACTCTGTCTTGACCCTGAGGGTTTCTGCTGGTTCTCCCTGTACCCTCTAGAAAATGCACAGTTCCTCATGAATACAGGCCTCCACCAGGATGAAGTGAGGCTGGGAAACTGACTNTCCAAACCCCTCCTCACTCCTACAGAAATAGTAGGAAGATGTTCTAATTAGTGTAGGAGAGACCCAGCACTTTAGGGGAAGGGCCTTGAATCAAGATGCTCTTTTATACTAAGTGAACTAAGCCAGTCAGAGAAAGACAAGTATCACATGATCTTACTCATATGTGAAATCTAATGAACAAAATAGACCGCCAAACAAAACAGATCCAGAGACATTGAAGCATGCAACAGACTGATGTATAGAAGCGGGAAAGAGGGGGAGGGGCTGGAAGAGATTGACCAAAGAATTTCTATGCATATATGCATAATCCATGGACACAGACAACAGTGTGGTGAAGGCCTTGGGGGGATGAGCAGGGTAGAGAGGGTCAATGGGGGGATCAAAGGGAATATTTGTAATACTTTCACCAATAAAGATAAGTTACCAAAAAAATACAACACCACAAAGATATTCTTTATCCCTCAGGCCCAGTGCCTGTGTGCTGCTGTTTCCCTGAGGGAAAGCAGAGCCCATCGACTTACCACCTGGATCACTCACAACCATGGTCAGTGCCAAGAAGACAGAGAGGCAGCTATTTAGAACAACCACCTGAAGAAGGTGCACAGAGGACAGAAGTCAAAAACCAATGCCCATGTATGAAGGGCTAGTCCCCCTGTCTCCCTCCCCGTGGGTAGGGACAGGTACCAGGAGTCTCCTAAGATGGGACCCATTGGCCTTCACTCTGTCTTGACCCTGAGGGTTTCTGCTGGTTCTCCCTGTACCCTCTAGAAAATGCACAGTTCCTCATGAATACAGGCCTCCACCAGGATGAAGTGAGGCTGGGAAACTGACTCACATTTTCTGGATCAAGCTGGGCTGGTGCCTTGCTGTAGTTGGTCAGGAACCGGGCCACTTCTTCCTGCAGGCTGTGGACAGACGCAGAGAGACCTTGTGGTTTCAGGCCCAGGGGCCTTCCTTATTCAGTCTCTAGACTTCAGTCTTTTCCAAATTACAAGACATCCAACCTCATGTTACAGGGCTACTGACAGAGGTTATAGAATCCCCAGGGGACAGACAATTAGTGTGAGAGTTGGACAAGAACTCTGCCCTATGAATTATATGGTAGTGCTATTTTTATTACACCAGGCTGCCTCCTAAAGTTTTGCCCTGGACATTTTCTAGAGTTGTTACCCAAAGAAACAGAGGTAGTCACCCAAGAATCTGGCACATTGAGCCCTTCCCTGATTGAGGACTGGTGCCTGTGGACCTGGAGACCGTAGATCTGGAGGTTACTTACAATGCATGTCCTTTCCAGTCAGAATATTGCAGAAGGTCATCATCAATGTAGTTCATGTCACTTCGACTCAACTGTTGACAAATAAAGCATGAGGACAACCAGACCATGGAAGCCCAGCAGTCTTCATCCTACTCCCAGGATGCAGGTGGGCATTTGCCCTACAACACAGGACCTCCCAGAATCGCAATGGGGACACATGCTGCATGAGCCTGAATGAAGGGAGGCCCTGACCTCCTTTTGGATCACACAAGTAGATAACTTACTGGGAAGTGCTTACCAACTTCTCCAACCATACACTAGGACCAAAGGCTCCTTTGTCAGCCTACCCAAAATATACCCATCCAGAGAATACCTCTGAACTTTCAGGAAATCCAGGAGGTCACATATGGTATTCTAGAAGCTGTTTCCCCACTCCCTTCCCAATCTCCAAAGTCCCACTCCTGTGTCTACTACATGCTAGGGGGACTGAACATGGGTCCCAGCACAGCCCGGAACGTGGCTCACCCTTTCAGTCATCAGATCAACGCAGAGCTTGTTCTCATTGATACCAAGGTTAATGAAGCCCTGGAGAGGGAAGGAATCTGAGATCAGTCCTCTTGCCCAGCCCTGAGGAATCCTTTAAACATGTCAAAAAGTACCCATCCCAGGTGATTTCTAAAGGATAGCTCCAGGTCCCCTGAGGCAATTCAACCCATGTTTAAGTGTTTGAAACTTTTCCACACACCCAAAATCATACAGTTTACAAATTTTGCCCTTTAGAGCCATAGAGATAAAGAATAGTTATAGTACGTACCAGCTACCAGTCGTTGAGTTCTTATTGACTAGAGTTTTTAAGCTATCACTAGGCTAAGTGCATCTTGTTAGGTGCCTTCATTCTCACAACTCCTAAGAAAAAGGTTCTGTGATGATTCCTGTTTAAAGGGAGTAAAGCTAAGAAAGGTTGAATAACCTACTAGTCATGTGACCGTGGTGATGGGCAGACTCTACCTGCCTGCCCCAGAGCCTGGGTCCCTAAGCACCACAGACCCTGCCTCATAGCCATCTCTTATTTCCACTTCCATGTACAGGCCCTGCAAGTTATTAGAGGAGGTACAGTTCCTCAGAGTCCAAGGAGATACCAGGCTCATCTGGCCCCTAGAAAAGCACATGGCCATCGAGCACATGTCACTTAGCTAGAAACACAGGGGAAGGTATGAGCTGTGCTGTCCTCCACCCTCTGGCTGGAGAGTTGTTGTGAACCTCCCTTGCTGGAAGCCTTCCATTGGCTCCCCATCCCCCTTAGGATAATATCCTAACCCTGTCCCACCACCACCACGGGCTGGCTGATTCAGTCTGTAAGACAGAGCTGGCATCCATCCCTTCAGTGCTCTTAACAACATTATTAATGTTTGTTTCCCAATGGCTGATGACATTCATCTGTAGACTGAGTTCCACGAGGACAGGTTCACTTCCACCTGTGACCACAGTGACTCCTAGCGGGTAAGAGCAGAGACTTAGGGAAAGAAAAGAGAGGAAGAGGGGAACCTAGTTTTTGCTCTTTGCCTTTCTTGGGCATGTCACTCTCTTTTCTGCCAATTCCCTTATCTAGAGAGACAATGAGGCAGGGAAGCATGGGTGGGAGAGCACAGACTTGGCACGGAACTCAGTAAATCCTAGGGAATGGAGCTCTCTAGTGTGCCCTTTCCACCCCCCACACCCTTACCCAGGTGTTTTTGCCTCCGTGGTATTTGTCTCTTTGGTAGGCCACGAAGTCCTGGAAGGTGGAGTGGTATAAGGCAGAAATGTCAATCCCACGGTTGGAGAGGTCATAGCTGATGAATGCAGTTTCCAAATCACTCAGTTGGTGACTTAGCTGGTCAGGCCCCCTGGGCGACTGGGCCAGCTGCCCACCTCCAACATCACCTCGGATGTCCGGGGAATGGAGAGGCAGTTGGAGCTCCAGGCTACTTGTGGCCCTAGAGTGTAAGAGGTTGACCACCTGGCACATTAAGTGGACAAGGATGGCTTCCTGCTCCCTGGTGGCCTGACTGTGCCCCTGCTTCTCTGGCTCCCGGTCCTGCTGCAGGTGCCTGGTCTCCAGCTGTGTGATGTAGTCCTCTATGGTCTGCCTCAAGCGCAGGATCAGCTCCATCACCTGGGGGTGGGGGCTCTGGTTTCTGAGGCCCTGGCCCTTTGTCTGGCCACAGGGCTTGTGGAGGGTGTCTGATTGGTGACTCATACTCTGGGTCTTTGTTTTGGACTTACCAGGCTGGCCTTTACCTGCAAAGAAACAGAGAGACCAGGTCCTACAGCAAAGTAGACTCCACCTGACGCTCAGGTGAAGGCCTGCACAGGGGAATTCTGCCAGATAGTTAAAGAAATATATTGTTCCAATACTATTTACACTGTGCTAGAGAATAGGAAAAGCATCCGCATTTTCAGATCAAGTAAATAGTGACATCAAATTTGACAGAGTTTAAATGAACTATGAACAAATCTCAGGTGTGATTAAATGATCAATACTTAAAAGCTAAATGGCACTTAGCAAACAAATCTAACAGCATCATCAGATAACCTTATGTCCATGTGGGGTTATACTGAGAGTAGAAGGATAGTTCAATTCTGCAATTTATATTAACTTCATTAATAGATCCTAAAGGGATAAAAATCACTTGATCTATAGATGCTAAAAAGACATTTGACAAAATTAGACACCCATTCTTGATTTAGAAAACTTAATAAAATGAATGGATACCTCTTTAACATAAGACAGTCTCAGACAAGAAACCAGCCGCCTACTCAATGGGAAAATTGAAGGATTTGAACCCCTAAATGAAAGATAAGGCCATTCATTCATTGTCAGTGTTAAATATCTAACATCACACCAGAGGTCTCAGCCAAGAATATTAGGCAAGGAAATAAATTAGAGTTAGAAATAGAGAATTTGATTATTGCTATCTGCAGATTGTTACTGTCTTGGAAGACACAAGAGAATTAACAGATGATTTACAAGAGAATTTAGTATCGTTATAGAATAGATGCCCACCTCATGTTTCTGTAAATACAGTGTTATTGGACCACAGCTACACCTATGCTGTGCATATATGTCAGTCAGAGATTGGTAGCAAACACTAGGCCAGCATTTTCAATCTGGGTCATTTACCCAATTAGTGAGCCTAACGACTGCCCAACACTCAAATCCACATGCAACTTCATTTTCATTTAATCCTAAATATTGGGAGGTAAGAATTCTCCCCACTTTCAGATAGAGCACTTAAGGGCATCATTTATTATAGTCCATTGAATGTAACAAGGTCGCCCAATATACCCGGGATGAGTATGAATAGTATAGGTTACTTTGGGGGACACAGAATCCGCTGAAACCACAATATTATCAATGGCAGCCTCTGGACCAAGGTCTTCACACACACACGTGACTTAATCCTCAAAACCACTCTATTAAGAGAACCTCCATTAGCCTCACTTTACAGATGAGAAAACAGAGGTTCGAAAAAAGGGAATAACACAAGTTTGGGACAAGGGAGCTTTAAAGCTAAGTCTGCTACCCTCAGACCCCACCCCCCTCTTAAAAATCCTTCCCCAAGGCCTCTTTCTGGAAGGATGCACATAAATTCAAGGCTTGGCATTCACTTTTGGGGATCCAAAGCCCAATAAGTCCATCAGTGGCCCAACCCCACTGAGCAGGTCCAGGAACCCAGTTGAAGCCCCAGGCAGTGTCTGGTCCAAAGCACCTCTCTCACTCCACATCCCATGGCTCTCCCAACCCTGCCACCAGCACTTACCTGTGTCTCTGTTTCCGCTCATCTCTTCTTTGGTCTAAAATCCTTACGCTGAAGAAATCGACCTTGACCATCAAGGCTCAGGCACTGCTCCAAGGCCCTCCTCCTCTCATGAAGTTTGCTTCCTGCGTCAGGGCTGCAACTCTGCTTTTAAGAACCAAGTGCTATTCAGGGCAACCATGAGATCCACCTGTTCCCTTCCATGGAAATCTCCCCAGGAGCTCCCTCTTACCTACAATGGCCTTTCTTGCCCCATTAGAGAGAAAGGGTCAGCAGTGCCCACATCTGAGGTCACCACCCCACATTGGAGCTGCAGTTCTCAAACTTTGGTAGCATTGGCATCACCTGGAGAGCTAAGAAAGGCCAAAGGCTCATGGAAGTAGGCTAGGGCCTGGCCAGGGAGGTATCTCGAGATTGCCAGTGATTTGAATACCCTCCAACCTTTGAGAACCACTAGAGCAAGCGAATCTCAATTAAATCACAAATGAGCTACTCACTTTCCCTGTTTCAGGGGAGGCCCATGATTGAGAGTAGGCTGAAATCAGTTAGCCTAGGACAGAGGGAAAACTTGACAAGGAAGCACTGCGTGCTCACCAGGAGGGTTGGTCTCAATCCCCAGCCCTACCTGACTCTGTGTCCTTGGCAGACCTACCCAGCCTTTCAAGTCCTCAGTTTCTCCTTACTGAAGGGGAGAGGGCATGACACCTACTTCACCAGGGGAGATGTGAAAGCTAAATGGGAGGACATGCCACATGATAGGGCAGGTAGAACTGCCTCATAACTGTGTCTGTTTCTCCCTGGTCAGCTCCTATCCTGCCTTCCTTGGGGGCTGACAAACAGAAGCAAGACCCAAAGCAGCTATAGTCTGAAAACATCCTGCCTTGTGACTGTTCTGCAACTGGAAATACAGGTGTTTGCTTACAATGCAGGTGCCTGGGCTCCACTCAGGGTTCTGAGGCAGGAGGTATATCACTGGGCCCGTAGTCTGCACTGGGAAACTGCCTGCAGTATAAAGCACACTAGGCAGGCAGCACTCAGGCCTCTGCTCTAGCTGGGCTCTGACGCCTGCACTGCTCTGCTCCCAGACACCTGCTCGACTCCCTCCCTCTCCTCCTCCGAGTCTTCGCTCAGATCACCTCCTCCTGGAGGCCCACTGTGGCCACCCACATAATTCCACAAGCTGCTCCACCTCCCACACAGCAGTTCCCCACCCCATTCAACCTTTTCTTTTTTATAACACTTTTCCCCTTCAAACCATAACTTTACTTATTTATTGTGTGCACAGTTTCTTTTCAGTCCCCCATTCTAAACTCCATGAGAGCAAGGCTCTTAGATTGTTTTGTTTATTGCTGTTTCTCAAATGCCAAGAACCATGCTGGCTCTTGGGGAGCTCAATGACATTTATGCATGAACAAATGAATGAATCAATGAACGAACGAATGAATGGATGGCACCATAATGCAATTATCTGAAGCCTGGTTCCCTTCTAGACCAAAGGCTTCTCAGCTTCTGCTATAGCTCCAAAGCACAGAGGGGGTTCTTGGTTAGTGTTTGTTGATTATTATTGTTAATTAACCAATAAGTGACTGAAGGGCAGGAATGAAGGAATCGATCAGTTTTAGGCTCCAGGTGAGTGATGAGGTGGAATGAAGATTTGCCCAGAGGAAAACCTCATTTTCCTCAATCTCCTGCATTTCTTACAACTCCCTCAGCTGGATGCTCTCTCCTAACAGTGGGTCCCTCCCAGCACAGCACTATCACATGGATTTGCCAAAAGGGGTCGCTAAATCCTAACTTTCCTTCCTGGCTCAGAAAACTCAGGGCAGCTACAGCTGAGGCCTCAGAGGAGCCAGGGGGAGAGTAGAAAGGGAAGGTTTGGGAAGGCCCAGAACCCCTCTGAGTCGCTAGCATCTCTTCTGCAAGAACCCAGCACCAGGATGGGCTCAGGCAATTCAATCTCGTTTGAACTCACCTCAACCCTTGTGCTCTGGGGGCCTCCTAGCATAATTGGTCTTACAGGCAGGACCCCAGGCTCAGAGTCGGGCACCTTGGGCACTGTTGCACAGCTAGAAAACATCAGTGGAAGGCTTAGGTTCCAGATTTGGCGACTGCTGTTGTTCCTTCTCCACTCCCCTTCCAACCCAGCTCCTTTTGGCTTCTCTGTTCCAAGGGCAAAGCAAGATTCCTTGGCCTAACTTAGAAGGCCTTGGTTTTCTTTGCTGCTGGGGAAGGCATGGGGGGAAGCAGAGTTTCTCCCCCAAGGACACTGGCCAAACTGCCCTCAGCTCCCACCATTCCCCAGTTTGCATCACCCTTGTTCCCTTCATTTCTGTTCCCTGGTTATTAAGTAGCCACTTGCCCACAGGCAAAGTCACTTTGGAGGGAGGAGCCTGGCAGGCTCGGGTGTGAGGGTAGAAGGGGGGAGATTCAGCAAATGGTCTCCTGACCCATCTCAGAAGAGACAGCAATGACACTGAGGCTCTGAGGGGCCTACCTGGGAGGACCCCAGCCTGCGCACTTTGTGTAGCCAGAACCTGGGCATCTGTAATGACGGGCTTTTTTTTGCTGACGTGGGTCCTGAGTTCCACATACTGGGCCTCCCAACAATCCAGGGAGGAAAGTGTCCTTGGCCCCATTTTACTGATGGGGAAACTGAGGCCCAGCAAGATGTCCTCAACCTTGTCCATTTTCATGCTGCTCGCATTGGCCTAACTCCACTCATGTCTGAATTCAGGCCTAGTGCATTCATTTCCCAGAATCCTGGACCCCAGGAACAATAGCCTTACAGGCTCTTAGGTCCAGCCTGCTCTCCAGGTTGCATGAGGTGACGAGGAGTGGGGAGCCTGAGGAAGTAGAATGTCACGATGTTGGTGCTCAGTGGCTCTGGTCCACTGAACTCATCTTCCTTGGGCAGACCTGACAGACAGTGAACCCATTGGTGTCCACCTGGTTGCCCTCTGGGTAACTGGGGGACCCAACCAGTTACCCTGCAGGTGCAGGTCCTATTGTTCAAAGGGACTGCAGGTGTTCCCTCCTCCAGAAAGCCTCCTTGATACTCCAGCCCCTCAGAGATCAACTCTCCTTCGAGGTACTGAGAGTTAGTTGCCCATCTGCATGTTCTCTGATCTTAGCATTTATACCCAACTAGACTTTAAAGACCTTGCAGAGAGAGAACGCTTTTCTTGTACCTCCCTTTAGTCTTTAGGAGCTGAGCATAAAATAGGTGTCAAGTAGCTGCTTTTGGTTTACTTGTTTGCTTCTGACATGGGAAAACAGGTGGAAGAAAATGGATAGAATATGTAAATAAATAGAGTTGGACAGGTGCTGTGAAGAATACCCATGCTGGGTAGGGGATTGAGACCAAGAGAGAAGACTACGTTGATAGGGGAGTTAGGCAAAGACCCACAGGAAGGGAAGGAGCAATCTATGTGGATCTCTG